CCATTTAGTTATTAGCCTAGCTGTGGTAGGCTCTTGAGTTTATTTGTCTGAAAGCTTTAGACAATGTTGAGTCAGTTGATTAAAATACGTACTAGTATCACTGGAGGACCTGACTAGCTCTGAGTTATTGGAAGAGATGGCACTCAGGTGGCCTTTTGTACTAGTAATGGTGTTATTTCTTGAATTTAAGAGTGTACGCAGATGTAGTTTTGGCTGTCTATTCACATACATTATAATAGGCACTTGTGAAAACCCTTTGAAAGTAAGAATTTTATATTGATGAAAGATTGTTTGTTAATCTCAAGAATTTTGGATGCATCCAGAACAATTTTTGGGGAAATGGGGGAAGCATGGGATGCTTCCCCAGATTGTTTCCAGGAATGAATTGGCACTCTACATCCTCATTTGATAGGGCTGCTTTTACAGTACCCTGATGCATGAGTTGTTGTTAAAGATTAATTCAAAAGCCTATGGATGCTTTTGAATTTTTGCCTTTCAAGCTGTTTAATGCCTATTTTAAAAACCATATGAGAGATTCACTATTGTTAAGGGCAGTGCCTGTCAAATGAGGGATTGTTTTGACCAGAGGAAAAGCACACCCACCCACCCCCCTGGCCTTGTCTTCCTGTAATCCCCTGTCAAAAGATGCTGTCTGAAGTGCTCTTATGCTTTAATGGGGAGCCATGATCTGGAGCAAGAAGAAACAGAGAACTCTTATCTGCTTCTCAGGCTCTGAACCTCTTTTCCTGACAGAGAAAGGATTCCGGAGCTAAAATCCAAATAAGGTATAATTCCTATTTCACTGCAAAGCTTTACCCTGACCAGCATGTAATGTATTTACTCCTGCATGCTTGGGGTCTGCAGGACGTTGCAGGGGCGGGATGCCAGTTCTGTGGCATGGTAAATCCACTTGTGTGAAAAAAAGCTTCTTGGGAGAGGAAGGCAGAGCAAAAAAGGACCTGGTTTACCCACAACTTGCTCATTAGGAATGCATTGCTGCTTTTGTTAAGCACAGTAATTATCTGGTATTCCAGCTCTTGCTAGCCCTTTTTTCTTTACTTCCTGCAACCAATTTCTTCCTAACAAGATGAGTATTTTCTTTGGTGCAATCACATACATTGTCTGTAAATAAACAGGAAATCTCTTTTTCCTGGATACAGCAG